GCGGCCCAGCAGAAGCGCCGCGCTGTCGCGCCTCGTAGTAAGCGCGGCGCGACGCCTCCAGCAGCGCAAAGGCCGGCCGGAAATGCTGCGCGATGTCCGCGTCAGTCGTGTCGTCGACGGCGAACGGGTGCACGACAATGCCGCGGTCGACCGACCAGTACTCCTCACGTGAGATGTTGAGGATTGTCACGATATTCTCGCGCCGCAGGAACTCTGCGTTGGTGGCGTCACGAACACCGCCAAGAAAGAGAAAGTCAAGAACCTTCGACGGCGGATCGTAGTTACTCGACACGCTGGACTGCAGCGGTATACCACAACTACTACACGACACCGGCGACGGCCGGCATTGTTGTTGCTGTTGTTGTTGTTGTTGTTGTTGTTGTTGTTGTTGCGGCTGAGGAGGGTGGTGATGGTGATGCCCGCCGCGGGAGAGGTGAACGCTACTTCCCCCGCTGGTGTTTCGTTTGCTACGGCTGTTGTTACTGCTGCTGATACTGACGCTGTTGGCATCGTCGGTGTCGAGGCGGCGAAGGTCCACCACGTTCTTGTCAGAGAAGTGGTGGTAGCGCCGCTTCGCGCGCCCACCGCCTCCGCTCGTGTGCACCCCACCACGCGCAAAGGCCGGCGGGGGCGGAAGCAGAGCAGCTGCATGACTATGGTGGGGCTTTTCCATTGACACGCTATACGCTCCGCCCTTCGTCTTCTTCTTTTGCTAAGTCACTCTTCTCTTGTTTCCTCGATTGCTGTACGTATATGTTTGTGTGACTGCGTGAGTGAATATTCGCGGATATGCCACTCTTGGTGTTATTGTTGCTGCTGTTGGTGCTGCTGCCGTTCTTTGGCGCGGCGGCTGCACAACGGAGCGAGGGAAGACTTGCGTGGTGTTTCCACTCTTCCGGCTTCACCTCGTGCTGGCGGTGTGGGCACGTGATCATATACGGATAGAGAGAGAGAGAGAGATGGGAGGGGGAGGGGAGAGACAAGAGAAGAGGGGAGATACACCAGCCACAAAGAGAGAGAGAGAGAGAGAGAGCGCTGCAGAGCGACGGACGACTTTCGCCGGCAAGCGCAGCTCGTAGAAAGCGAAACAACCAAACAGAACACAAAGAACCTGCCTACCGAACACGCACACACACAAAGAGGGAAGAGAGATTATACACACAGCTGCGCGTCCGCTCGTCTACCCCTCCCCGGCCGTCTCTCACTGCGCCGCATCACCACCACCACCACCATTACACAACGCCGAAGTGGGCAGTGGCCACATAAACAGCAACAGCGGAAACACGCAGCATGGAATGGGAATCGCTACGCTGCCTCCTCCAGCAGCAGCGCGGCAATCTCTTGCACCAGCAGCTCCGCCAGACACAGCTGCCGCGCCTTTACCGCAATGCCGATGCCCTTCTCGCCGTCCACAATATTCTCCCACAGCAGCGCCGCAACATGCGCGGCGTCCGAAGTGGATTTACGGGCGTGCAGCACACCGTGCAGCGACACGGCATCCTTGAATACCTCCACCGTACGCAACCGCAGCTTCTGTAGAATCAACGGCAGCGCAAGTGGTACACGACTTGCACTGATGGCAACGAAGCTCTCCACCACTGACGTCTCCAGCAAGAGCCTTCCAAGCACCGTCTCAGTGAACTCCGCAGGGGTTGTGTCCTTTGGCGCCTTGGCGAAGTACCCGTAGCGGAGCGGCAGCAGCAATGACGCCGTCGTCGGTTTCTTGTCACGTGTGTAAGTGAGCGTGAAGGGGAGTGGCTCCGCAAAGGAGACGGGAAGCTGCGCGACAAACTTGATGGCCGATTCTTTGCGCACGGACGAGGATCCCTTGATGCGATCTGCAATGTGCACGACATTTTCCGCCATTTCATCTTGAGTGGCACCGTTCTCGTTATCATTGTTACTACTGTTGTTGTTGTTGTTGTTGTTGTTGTTGCTGCTGCTATGCGGTTCATCCGGATCTAGACGCACAATCTGCTCCGTGTAGTTCTGCTCGTCGTGCTGCACGCGAAGGGTGACATTGTACACGCTGCTGCTGCTTGCCAGGTTTGTCACCTCCACACAGAAAGCAAGCCGTGTGCCGTCCTTCCGCAGGCGACACGGCTCCACAGAGAGAGTAACACGCAGGTACCGCTCGTCGAGCAGCACGACAGGCTCAAATACCTCTGCTTCCGCTGCTGCTGCCGCCTCTTCCGCTGCCTTCGCGGGGGATGCCGCGCTGCGTAGCTGCAGCAGCTGCGTGTACGGAATCGTCTCTGGCAGCTTCTCGTTCGCCGCAAGAGCTCGCGTAACATCCACGTTGCGGAACTTCCTTGTGGCCTCGTCCACCTCCTCTTCATGTTCCTTCTGCCGCCTCGTTTGCGTTGCCGGGACGTAATTCACCGGGCGTGAAAGTTCGCGATTGATCGTCTGCGTCTTGCGTGGCTGGCGCGGGACGTCCTGCAGCTGCAGCGATGCCGCCGTGACGGTCTCCAGCTCCACCTCCACTGGCACCCCCTCGCGCGCGAGAGATTGCTCCTTGATGTAGAACGCGGCCACCTCTCCGCGCCGCGCCTGCTCCCGCCACCGCTGCCGCTCGGCTCCGTCGTCGAAGATGCCCTCGTCATCGTCGCCGTCATCCTCTTCGCTGTCGGACAGCTGCATCAACTCCGGGAGGCGGCTGCAGAAGGGCTCATCGAGGTCGAGGCCCTCCGGAAGCTCCACCGCGTCCTGGGCGCCAACAGCAACCGGCAGAAGCTCCTCAGCGCAGAGGCAGGGGCCGAGGTCAGGGTCCTTGTCAACCTGATAGAACACCAGGTTGGCCCGCTCCTGCACATCAGAGTGAATGCTGTGGCGGAACAACTGCAGGCCAACGTACTGCTTTTGGTGCAGCAGCCGGCCACAGCCATTCCCACTGCCCTCTCCCTTGTCAGCTGCATCAAAGTGTTGCGGTGGAAGAATCACCTCGCGCAATTCATCATCTGTCACAGGGTCCTCCGGCAGCGTCAACTCCTCCTCGCCGTTGCAAAGCGCAAGGTGACGCTGGCATGGCTGGTGCACGTATGCGGCAATTTTACCCACAGCAGCGACGCACATCACCTGTGCCTCTGGGGGGAGCACAGCAATGCGGTCGCTTAGAAGCTGCGCGCACGTGTGACGAATATCCTCCAGCCAATACGGGTACTCGCCGCAAAGGAATGCGGCCGCTTTAATAACCTCCCACTGTGTTGAGAGCGTGGCGTCGCAGTTCAACAGGGTTGTGTTGGATAGCAGTTGGCTGAGGGCGTTGACGCCAAACTGCCGCACGGCGTTGACGCGTGTGAGAACCGTCACAAACTCGCGCTGCACGAGTCCACCGTGCTGGTATGTGGAGAGGTTCACGAGACTTATGTCAAGCAGGACGCCTGTGTACCACTCAAAGTCCGGCACAAGGGCGTAGTCGTCTGTCTGCGCCACCTCCACAACAGTGGCAATAACGCGGTTCGACCAGTCCTCATCCGGCGGGGTGCGCACGCAGCGCTCCATCATACTGTTGACAGTCGACACGATGTTGCGCTTCGTCAATAGGCCGTGGAGTATCTCCAGTGCCTTGCGCCGTATCGTCGAGTCCGCGTCATCGAGGCACGCGATAATGATATCCCGCTGGTCGCTCAGCAGCTTTGGGTTCTCCACCATCATGCGCGACATGGCGTCGAGGCCCAAGTACTTGAGGTTTTGATCGGCGTCCTCAATGAAGAGCTTCACCTTCTCTGCCGCCAGCTTCGTCAGCGACGCCACCTTGCTCATGCCATTGGCCACCGCGAGGATGCACTCGTACTGCACCGACTTCGCGCCGGTTGTGTGGATGAGATTTGTGACCGGCTCCACCAGCTTCTTCCCCAGCCGCGGCTCGAGCGGGGCGAAGTAGCCGAACACCTTCACGATCTTAATGAGCGTCCAGTTGCTGTGCACCGTCGACAGCATCGAGAAGAAGGGAACGGCGAGGCCGAGAAAATTCGCCGGGTTGCGGCGTGCGAGTTCGCACAGCACACACACAACGGCGCCACGCACCGCCGGGTCGTTGTCGCAGCGCTCGCTGTGGTCATCAAGTTTCTCCTTCAGCCGCGGGTACGTCGGCCGCAGCGAGTCGGGGTACTCGAAGAAGACGCGGTAGAGACTCAGCACCGCCTTCTTGCGCACGTAGCTGCGCGGGTGGTTGAGCAGATTCACCACGTCCACGACGAGATCCTTCGCGAGGTCCGGCGTGCAGACGGAGGCGATGCAGTACAGCGCGAGACCAACTTCGTAGTGGTTCGCACTCGCGAGGTCGCGCTTCAGCAGCGCCGTCATGAGCGGCAGCACGTCGGTCTTGGGCGTGAAGGTGAGACACGCGGCCATATATCCAGTGCGCTTGTTGGCGAACAACTTGTCGGCCATCACTTCAATGATGTTAAACGCGCCATAAGCCGCGCTGTANGCGGCCATATATCCAGTGCGCTTGTTGGCGAACAACTTGTCGGCCATCACTTCAATGATGTTAAACGCGCCATAAGCCGCGCTGTAGCCGAGCATTGAGAAGTACACCGCCTTGAGCACGGCGGTTACCTTCACGCTCTGCACGGTGGAGGTGATCTCCTTCCTGGTCTCGGCGATGCACTGCTCGATCACCTCCGCCTCGCTTTTGCTGGTGGATCGCAACTTCCGCACCACCTCCGCAAGGGAGTTCTGGAACAGCAGCTGCCCCGCTACTCTAGTAGCCTCCGCCATTGTGCGCTTCCCGCTTGCAAGCTAAACACACACACACACACACACACACAAATAAACAACAACAACAACTACCACTAAACCGTAAAGACGATTATGGAGTTGTTGTTGACAAGCCTCCTCCTCCTCCTCCTGTTGCTGCTGCTGCTGTTACGCACCGCACGCAAGATTCACGACGCTAAATGTATATATATATACAATATATATTCAGTGCACTCCTCCTGTACCGTGGCGTGGATTGTAAAAGATGAAGAGAAGAGAAACGGGGTTGCAAGGCAGCGGGGAGGGGAAACGTCAAAACAGCACACCCATATAAAATAGGCACCCGAGAGAAGCAGAGACATAATGCACTCGACGCGAATAGAGAAACGAAAAAAAGAGAACACCTTCTCTCAGTAGAGTGGGACACACATATATATATAGAGGCTGATCTCGCCCCTCCCTCTCCCCCCCCCCACACACAGAGAGAGAGAAAGAAAGAAAGAGTCGCATCCACATTTGTTTTTCATCCACACTCTCACCCGCTTTCGCTCTCGCTCTCCTTCTTTCTCCTTCCTTAGAGTTGGGCGCCGAGGGTGGAAGCCTTTTTCTGCAGACGACTCTGCGCCTCCGCCTTGGCGTCGTTCAGCTTCTTCGCCGCCTCCCTCACGGCCTCCGCAGTCTTGCCAATGAGCAGCAGGTAGAGCGGCCGCACTCCATCGCGCAGGCGGTGGGAGTGCTTGAACTTCCTGTCATAGAACACACCCTTGCGGATGATCGTCGTGCCGGTTTCCTCCGCAACGGAGCGCAGTAGCGCGGCACTCTGCATGCGCAGCCGAACCTGCTCTGGCAGGTCATTGATGAGGAACTCCGCCTCAAAGCGGACGCCCGTCGCGGCAGGATCCGCAGCAGCCTCCGTCGTCTTTCGTGCGTACGCGAGCGCCAACGCCAAGCGGTCCTGCTGTTGCTGCTGCTGTGTAGAGATGGTAAGAGCACCGGTCTCCTTGTGCAGCGTCAGCGCTGTGGATGCCTCGCCACCGCTGCGGGTACCGTCCTCCCGCACCGTCACAATCTCAATATCACCGTCATCTTCACTGTCACTGTCGTCAGAGTCCGAGTGCGAGCTGGCGGAGAGATATTCTTCGAGCCCAGCCGCCCTTGCAGCCGCCTTGAACTGTTGCTGCTGGTCACGGTCCGTGAAGCGCAGTTTCTTTGCCTTCATATAGCCACGGTAGAAGCCCACGTTGTGACGCGCGGCACCCTCCTTGCGCCTTTCACGTACCTTTGTTGCCCGCTCGTATAATTCCTCCGGCACTTGCTGCTGCGCCCGCTCGAGGCCCTCACAGAGATCCGCCGCAATGTCGTCGTCCCTTCCGCGGGTGAAGAAGCTGACGGCTTTGCCCTTCTTACCAGCGCGTCCCGTACGGCCGATGCGGTGCACATACGCCTCATAGTGGTCAGGGAGGGTGTAGTTGATGACAAGCTCCAGGTACGGGATGTCCAGCCCACGCTCTGCCACACCCGTTGCGATGAGAATAAACTGATTGCCGGGTGTGAAGTACTCCAGAGCGAACTCGCGGTCGAGTGGGTCCATGCCACTGTAAAGAACGGCGATGCGCTTTTGGTAGCCACAAGAAGAGAGACGTGCAAAAAGGTCGTCACACTCCTCCTTGCGCTGGGTGAAGATGACGACGAGGTGCTCCCCATTACCGCCTTCATCGCCGAGTATCTGCAACAACTTTAGGAATTTCTTGTCCTCTGTACGGTTTGCCTCCTCCACCTCGTAGACCTCTTCTTCAAAGAAACAGAAGCGTTGCTCCACGTTAGAAGCGGGTGTCGGTTTGCCACCCACCGTGATCTCCACTGGATCCCGCAGGTGATGCATGATGACTTTCTTCAATTCCTTCGGCAGCGTCGCGCTGATTAACGCTAGCTGTCGGTCAGGGCGTATATTCTTGAGGAATGCCTCCACATGCTCCATGAAGCCGCTGTCAAACATGCGATCGGCCTCGTCTACTACTACAAAGGAAACACGCTGCATGGAAAGAACGGCCCCACCGCTGACGGTAAGAAGATCCAGGAGTCGGCCAGGGGTACACACCATCACCTCACAGCCGGCTTTGCACTGCCGAATGTTGTCTGCGAGCGGTGTTGAGCCGTACGAGGCCACCAGCCTTAGTTGAGCAGCCACACACAACTTCTCCGCGACATGCACAATCTGCGCCGCCAACTCGTGCGTAGGGACGAGAATGAGGCCAATGGGTCCCTCACCCTTCCCGCAGGGTTCCTGTCCAATGCAGTGACGAATGAGCGGAAGTAGGTACGCCAGGGTCTTACCGGAGCCAGTTTTCGCTGTGATTAGAAGATCACGACCACTCATCAGCGCAGGAGAGCCGAGTGACTGCACAGCAAAGGGCTGCTGGTACCCCTCGCGTGCGAGGGTATCCAGGACGGAGTCCGGAAGCCCGGAACCGTTCCAACTGCGCATGGGACGCGGCGGATCACGCCCACGCACCTTTGCGCCGTCAAGCTCCTTCACCAGCTGCTTCAACTCCTCTGCGCTGAGTCCCTTCACGTCGGGTGGCGCAACGTAGAACTCTTTTCGAATGTCCAAGTACTGCACAGTGCTGTGGTCAACGTACTGCAGCTTGCGCAGCCGCTTCGTGTCCTCTGGGGGGGCCGGCGGCAACTTTGCTGACACCACCTCTGCCATGAGGTCGTGTGACTCATCTGTGGCGCTCACGACAGTCAACGCCGTTGACATGACGGGCTTCAGCAGCTCCTCCTTCAGCTGCTGCAGCGCACTGGCAGGGTTAGACACACTGCCAGTTGCGGTTTCCGCCGGCTGCCGTCTTGCTGCGCTGGTGCTCTGCACGTGGGCAAGCAGCCGCTCACGAATGTCGGCAATCCCGTCGTCGTCATCGTCTTTTTTGTCTGCATCGCCATCAGCGTTGCCTTCACTCGACGTGGACGATGCGCCGCCAAAGCGGTTATCATCATCGTCAGAGTCTTCACCAAAAACAACATTTTCGTCAACTCGCACGTTGCTGCCTTGAGCCCCGCCGTGTCTGACATCGTCATCACCGCTGAGGCCACTGTTTGTAGACGACCCCCGCTTCTCTTTGTGCCTCATCAGCTCCATATCGCGACTCTCCAGCAGAGCCTTACGCTCCACGAGAATTTCCTCCCATGAGGCTGCACTACATTTGGGATCACTGGCATTTTTCTTCTTCTTGCC